CGCGCTACCGAGCTACGGCTGGGCCATGTCCCCAAATTTTCCTGGAGAAAGGGCAGGTGTCGAGGGGTTCCCTGGCTTGGGATGGGCATGGGGTGATGCCCACAGAGGGTGACGGGCTCGTGGTGTGGGTATCTAGGCATCCGCTCCTCTTCCCAATTGATGGGTTACGCAAGGGCAGCAAACCAATCCCACAGCCGCGTTCCTGAAATCCTCTGCTGAGAAATTGATGATGATGAGGAAGATGTTTTCGCCTTCGTTCTCTTTGGGGGCTGGCAGCAGAAGGGTAATAAGTCAACGCTCTCCATCACAGCTGTCGCACGCCCGGGCTGAGCCATTAATGCGCGCGCCGACACCATCAGCCTGGAAACAAGCGCCTCGCGGGAGTCCTGCCTGAATTCTTTTTCCCCCTAAGGAAAAGCTACTTGGTGGTTAATTAAAATTATTGCTAATGATGCAAAAAAAAAAAAAAGCCATAGGTGGGGAATCCAACCCCCCTCCTCCCCACACCAGGCTTATTTAGCATCGGCAAATCAAGCAGCCTGCCAACAGCTCCACGGATGTTCGGCTCGACGGGATAACCAGCTCCGGGAATGGGGAGGGATGAAAAAGTCATTTATCCTGACTTTCAGCAGGGCTTTTTGATGCTGTCTCACTTTTCATTCTCTTCAGCAAATTTGGTCTAGAGGAAGCTCGAGAAGGATAAACACCAAAATGTCGCGTAAGAGCGAATATCAGTTGTCCGTCACCAACACGGGGGGATCTATCAATGGGATTTCCACGGAGGTCCATCCTAGGTCTGATCTTTTCACGTATCCAGGCAGGCAGCATAACGAGAATGCATTTTTAAGTTTGCAGCCGACATGGAGCTGGGAGGCACAATCCAAATTCAGGAATGATCTGGAAAAACTGGGAAAGCAACCTGACGAACCCACAAATCCTCCAACACAAACGCCCAGGATGATAGAACCATATCTTAGAACGGTTTGAGATGGAAAGGATCTTGAAGGATCATCTAGTTCCAACTCCCCTGCCATAAGCAGGTAGGAAAATAAACTCCTAAAGGTACCAAGGACTTTGCACCCACCCACACTCACACTGCACGGATGGGAACACACCTTCCACGTAACCCTGAAACACAGCCAAGCCCGTGCTGAAGGTATTTCCAGAGAAGCTCTCAGCAAACCCAAATCCCTCGCTCACCTCGCTCCGCGGGGCAATGCACAAATCCCACTGCAAATTCCAGTCCTGCCGCCTTTCCCCCGGCTCCCCTCCGTGGGGATGAGCTGTGAGAAAACACTCTGGGCCCAGTAACGCCTTAATTTGTTCGGCGTGTGTGAAAAGCCAGCTCCCTCTGCCGGCATCGCTTCCTCAATAAATTAACTTTTGCCTCCGGAGGATCACAGCACGACGATAATCCGATAGGCTTCGTGGCTCACCTATCGCGTACGGGGCTCAAAGGATTGGGGCAAACAACCGTTGCGAGCAGGTGGAGAAGCCGAAGCCTCAGCCTCTGCCGTGGTCTTGCTGTCAGTTCTTTCGGGTGATGCCACCCCAAACACAACTGAGACAGCTGAGTTTTCCTTCACTTCTCCACACCAGTCCCCTCTAAGTTTACCAAAACATCCTTCACATCTGCTGATTGTTGACATGGAGAGGTGGGAAGGCAGAGAAGCTGCTTCTCCTGGTGCACACCAGCTTGGGTTTGACAAACCTCCCTCCTCTGCTGCACAGGTTGAGCTCAGCACCCATGCCACCCAGTCTGCCTTTGGACATCTGCTAACTCCTACAGGGACCTGGGTCAGACCCAAAGCTCCTCTGCCCTGCACCCAAGCCCGTCTTCCCAAGGAGGAGAGGACACCAGGAAGCTGGTTGGGTGCTGGGGCTACAGCCAGGTCTACACGCAGTCGTGCTGATTTGCTCCAGCAGGTCTCACAGCCCATGTTCTTCACGGTGATGCTTTCACCTCACGGATCTAGTGATGCTTCCATAGTGCTGGTGATGCCTCACGAAACCACCAAGAGTTTGAGGTTGCCAACCCGTCCCTAACGCACGTGCAGCTGCAAAAGACAGCGGTTTCTCCGTCTAGTCCTCAAAAAGCCCAACCCACACGAAGCAAAGCAACCCGCGCCGAGAGAGGGGCTGAACCGATGCGTTACCTCCCGCTGGGAACATCTGGGAGGCGAGAACTCGGAGCATGAGCGCGGCGGTAGTCAGGGGAAAAAATATGATTCCTCTGATGTCTGCTCAGTGGGAAAAAGCCATCTTCAAAAAGCAGAAAATATGGATCAAAAATAGAAATGAAGTAGAGAGGCTCTGAGCTGTCTCAGATACCTCAACCTGTGAGCCAGAGCTTGCAAGAAGGTGCCACCACCCAACCTGGGACACATTAGAGCCCTGCATGGGGCTGACACCATCGTCCCATGGGCCCAAGGAGCACCTGTGGAGTGGGAAGACCTGCTCAGTGTCTCAGGACCAAGATGCCAAGTTCATCACTTGTGGCTTCCCTCCATCACTCCTGGGATGCTCAGCAAAGCAGTTAAACCTACACTGGACTGCCAGCTCCTGCCCGCAGCCCAGACTTTGGGGGAATTTAAGGAATCTCCTCAAAAAGCAGCACGTGCTTTGCTAAATCTGGGTGTAAATACAGGCAAAAGAGGCGATCTAACAAGAGACGGCGTAAGCACAGGCAGGGGAATGGCATCATTCAGGATGTATTGTAGAATGTATTCTGAATTTGAATGATTAAGGGAGTTGAAGATCTGCCAGAAAAACTTTTTTTTTTTTTCTTTTTTTCTGTAGAAACAAGAGCTCAGCCCCGGATGATTTGGTCTTGCTGGAGGCCAGAGGTGCTGGCTGGCGGTCAACGTCATTGGCACGTAGGACACACAGCAAACACTTTTGGTGTTAAATACATTTGCAACCACAGTACAACTCTCCTGTGGCTCAACATCTCTCGAGAAAACAAGCTGTTGTGGATACTTGATGGGAAGCTCTCAGGGCCCAGGACCCAGGTTCCCAGCCCCTTGACGCTGCCACATGAGGGTCCTCCCCAGCATCTCTTTAGGTGGTCACACCTGAAGTGTGGAAGATGCCCTTGGAGCCATCCCTGTGACAGGAAAAGCTCTTTTTCACCCTAAAATACATACGTGTGCTCTGCCTCACAGGACACGTGGCCTCGTGCCACCAGCACCACAGCGCTGACTCTTCTGAGTGCCTCTGCTGCAGGGATGCTTCCACTGCAGAGACGCGGAAACCTCAGGCTAACAGCAGATTTATTTATTTTTTTCCAAGAAGAGAGGAATATCCAACCTCATAGCAGCAAAGCTGGACCTAAACAACCTGCACTTCTAAGGAGGAAGAGGAGCTGCGGCCGGCAGGAGCCCACCGCTGCACGGGGAGCCCATGGAAAGCCTTGGGGTCACCTCGGTTCAACTCAGCGTGGGTGAGGGAGGTCTAAGAGACCTGGATTTCAAAGGTGCTGTCCTGCCCAACCTCCTTGGCTTCTCCACTCCCGCTCCCCAGAGCAGCTCAGCCAGATCAAGCCCCTCATCGGCGCCGAGCTGCTCCCACACCGTCCCATACCTTCACAATTTCTTGCGCTATCTGCCTCGTCTTGTTGACGTCCAGGACGATTTTGGCATCTCTCACCACCGAATAGAGAGTCCGTCCTTTACACAGGCTGAAAGAACAGGAAAAGAAGATAAAACCACAGTTTATAAACCCCCGCTGAGAAACATCCCCAAATTACAAAGGCAGTGGCTGCGGCAGGGAACTATAAATAACTGCGAGAGCTTTGGCTACATCTCCAGGCAGACTGGGGATTCAGCGAGGAACCCGGGGACTCTCCCCAGTTTGGCACTGGGAGGGAGCTCAGTGCATCCTGAGCCCATCACCGTGGTGTTGAGCCCCATAAAGAGGCGAGCTCGGCTGGGCCCTGGCTCTTCCCAACATCTCAGCCACGAGTAAAATCAGCCGGTGCCCTCTCGCTTCAGATTTTCGCGTCCTCTCCCTGCAGAGGATTCAAAGCTCGTGGATGGAATGAGTCAAAAGAGGGAAGGCAGGGGGAGAAGGTGGGGGGGAAATAAAAAAAAAACCCCAAACCCAACCCGCTCCACTGTACAACGTCCTCCAATTTTCCTTCTCGTACCAGTTACAGTAAAATCTATTTACAGAGCCTTAATTACCAAAGGCAGCTGGAGGGGGATATAAACCAATTAAAAATATATTGACATTTGAATATCATAATGGAGGACGTGGGTGGATGCTGCCTTGACTCCCACTCACAAAAGAAAAAAAAGGCGGGCTTTTTTTTGCTTTTCTATATCCACCCACGCTCATTACAGGCAACTTTAGAAAGAGGAGATTGGATACCTGTGCCCGGGAAATAAAGCGACTGACACATATCTCGTTAAAGAGGCTTCGGCAGACGTTAATTTGATCCTGGTCTAGTTAACAAATAAAAAGTTACGGGTTTTAATTCCTCTGCTCTTCCCTCTGCTGCTTTCCCCATCTCCTCCAGCCCCGGGGATGCCAGCATGGTCTGGTCTGGGTTGGTCCCCTGAGAGATCATGGCGGTTTTGCCCGATTTTTTTATTATTACCTTTTTTTTGGATGAAAATAACCAGCCCAAGCCATGCCTTGTTGCAACTGGAAGCATCACCCCGAGCTGCCCTGAGTTTGCCTGTGTGCCTCATTGCTCAGAGGAGGAGAAGGGGAGGGGTGGGACCCCCCAGCTTGGGTGAGGAAGAAGAGGCAGCACAGTGATGCTCAGTGCAGGCTGAGCTCTTCAGGCCTCTTTGGGGGATTCAACGGAATGGGGTTGGGATGATGCTTATTGGGAATAAAATTTCCCTGCCTCTTCAGAAGTCCTGAGATACAAAGGGCCCTTCTGCTCCACATCCCTCCGTGGGCTGAGAACACAATTTTCAGGTCAAGCAGTGAAGCAGGACCAGGACCGGTCCTGTATCTCACGAGTTTTGGGAAAACAACAACATCCTTTCGACTCTTTTGCGTCGAGTTGGAAATAGCCTTGGCGGACGCAAGGGTTTTAGGGTATCTCTGTATCCATGAAACTGCCTCATCGGTAATGGTTTTCCTCACCCAGGTGTCTCGGCACGTCCCTGGGCCACACCGGCTGGACTGCAAACCCGAGGCACCCATAATTACAAATGTGATCTTCCTCCAGCGAAGCCAGCCGCTTCCTATCTTTCTGCCAGAGTTTGGCTGCAGTCAAATATCAATTTGTCTGGAGATTAGGATCCAAGCACTCAAACTCCTACTTGGAAATAAGCGATAAAGAAAACGCTCGGGTTTCTGCAGCCGGAGTGGAAGAGCGCAAAATAACGACAGACATGAACAGTCTTTCTACCACCTTTACAACATGAAGGGGTTTGGCACTAATTTGATTTAAAAAAAAAATATCCTGAAAAGCTCTAAGATCTGCAATGCAATGGGCTTTCTGCCGCCTTCCATGACCTGCCTGCGTATGAAGGAGTTCCTCAATCCCCAGAAACACTTTTTTTCTCCCAGAGAAAACCATTACAGGAAGGTGCTTGTGGTCTGTTAAGCCATGATCTGACACTGCAAATGCAATGAATAAATCAGCGCCGGAAGGGGGATTGATCTCAGCCCTAAAGCGAGTTAGGATGAGTTGTTTTACAGAAAGAAGTGTTGTTTAGAGAAAAAAATCCTCCAATTCCTGCCTATCAGAATGGCAGAGGGAACCCCGGAATTGGAGCCTGCAGCCCTTTATCAATGCAATTCCCATCATTTCCAGAAGGACCACACTTAAGGAAGCAGCAGATGTGCCCAGCACGAGGAGAGCAGCCACTGCTTGGACCTAGGCTGGTGACACCAGGGCATGGGACATGCCACCACTGCTCCTCAGCCCTCGGCAGAGCCGTGGAGGCAGCCCAGGTGCCGCTCTCCTCCCCTCACTGAATAATTCCTCTGAGCGAATCCAACGAGCAATCGCCGCCCTGGCCTTTGTCAGGAGTTTTCTTGCTGGATAAGGAGCTGCCAATGCAGAGATAAAGCCTGGTTGATACCTTTTATGCAGCACCTGAGCCCATTCAGCCACCACCTGCAGAACCTTTTCATGGCAGAGCTCAACAATTTTCTCATTCCCCGTCTCTGCCGTCAATCGGTCCCCATCCGGCGAGGCACAAAGCGCGGCTCCTGGGGGGGCACGCGTGTCATCTCCTGCCTTTCCACTTCAAGAGGTCTACATCGAACCGTGGCATTGAGGCACCGAGCCGGCTGCAAGCCAGCGGTGCCTATGCTTGACACCAGAAACAAAGGCAGATGATTGGCACCTTCAGCCCGATCTCAGCTTATTCACCACTCGAAGTACGTATTCATAAAGAAAGACTTGTCTTCTGCTCCTAGATTTCTCCATCCCACCCATCAGCAGAGCAGGGAGGGTGGTGACACGTGCCCTGGCATCGCACCAAGCCCCAGACAGAGCTGACAGGCAGCAAGGATGACTCAAGGAGATGCAAAGGTCCTTCAAGGGGTCCCCAGCATCCTCAACCCATGAAGCACCTCAACCTGTGGAGCAACCTCAGCTCACGGCCTTCCTCAGCACCAGGATAGTCCTGGCCTTGCAGCCCCATCCTGCCACAGATGCAGCTCTCTATTCAAAATGAGTTTTTGAAGTGTTCAGTCAAGCAAGCCAAATCCCAAATTGCTTTATAAACACTCTGCATTTCGCCAGCGTGGGCTGAAGACATCAGCAGCGGGAGCAAAGCCAAAGAGACTTGCAGAGGAACAATTTAGGAGGGATGAGTGAGGAAGAGCTGGAGCCCTGCCTCTTGATATTTTTGCCATTCGATATGAAAACAGCCTCATCAATCCCCCAGCCAGTCGGTTTTTTTCCCCTCTCCCTCAATATGGATGGTCATCATCTTCATACTGATGGCCATCACCTCTAGAACGTTGGCTGTCACCTCTGCATTGATGGCCACCACCTCTATGTTGATGGCCACCATCTCTACATCAATGGCCACTGCCTCTACGCCGATGGCCACCACCTCTACATCAATGGACACCACCTCTATGGGGTTGAAGACCTCAGCCTGGCTCCTTCTCAGGAGCAGGATCAGGACCAGAGCTGATGGCACAGCCGCTGCACACGGGCTGTGATGCCGTTGCCGGTGTTTTGTGTTTTCTTTCCCTCTGTCCAACCATCCACATAAATGCCCATTAAATTAAACAGAATCGTTTGAACACCCCAAAGTGATAAACGCCAGACCCCAGGAAGCTCATTACTTGCTGGTATATTGATTTATGGGGAACCAGCTCAGATACCATGGCGATAGCCGGCACCATACACCCAGGGGAGTCACAGGAGAGAGTGGGAATTAATAATAACTACTTTAATATAAAAATACCTCTGCTAGCAGGTTACATCTGTGCTTGAGGAAAGACAGAGCAAAGGAGGGGCTGCTCGGATGCTTCCACACTCCCCATCAGTTTACAGATTTTTAATGTTTCAATGGAAAAAAAATAAAAGAAATCCTTGGGGAATGTTAAGAAAGACATGGCCACAGCAACCAGAGCCACTGAGCTGGCATTTATGTGATTTCCTTTAAAGAGGACTGGCCTGGCAGGGAGGGCGGGAACAAGTCCTGCATACTCTTACATGTGCCCCAGTTATTCAGGAAGTTTTCAAGCTGTTCCCATATACTGGCTTGTTTTTCCCTTTCACCCCTGGCTGGCAGTGGTGCTTTCGCAAGTCAGCAGCCGCAAAGGCGTCTCACAAAAAATGAAACAAGGCTGGGAAGAGCAGCAAAGGGAGAGGTTTGGGTTAATTTTTATCCCGAGGCTTTGTTTCCCTCAAAATCAATCAAAAAGCTCGAGCCTCCCAGCGTGGTGAGCGAAGCTGAGCAGCAAAATCCTCCAGCTTGGGCTCCCCGAGCCCTCTCCATCTCACCGACCACCCCGAGGACAGAGGGGACAGTCAGCTGGGACAAGGGGGACCGGCACGAGCTGCAATGAGTTCGTTAGGTCTCAGGCTAAAGAGAAAGCTCAAAAGCGAAGTGAAGCAGCTCTTCTCTGAGCCACACGTACCCACTCAGAGGTGAAAATGCTTTTCCCATCAAACTCCACCTCTGCATGGAACCCTTACACAAGTCTCTCAAAGCAAACCCAACCAAGACACAGGGAATTCATCCCCTGCCACAAGCAGTGGGGTTTTTTTGGCCCCAGCAAAGCCCAAAGGTGCCCAGCCTGGAGTTTGAGATTTGCACCAAGGAGCCTCTGCAAACCAAAATTAGCCTGGGGAACTAGAAAAGCCCTGAGGAGAGGATGCTCCCCTCATCCCGTACTCGCTCTCTCCGCCACCCTTTGATGGATATTATTTAGGAAGCAAAATTTTCCTCCCAGCAGCTGGCACATGAGATAACTGCAGCCAGCCCAGCCGAACGGCGAGGGCTGGAGGAGAAGGAGGAAGAGGAGGAGGAGGAGGGAAAATCAGCCTCCCCGAAAAGTAGCTCCAACTCATGGGGAAAAAAAAAAAATAAGGTTATTTAAGAAAAAGCAAAATCCATGCATTTTTATTTGAAGGAGATGGTGTCAGAGACAAGCTATTCCACAGCTGCAGGGAGAAGAGCCAAGAGAAAGGTGAATGCAAAGCAGCCGCCGGCCCTGGCGGCTTATCTAAAGCTCCCGCTGCAAACA